CTCCCCACCTGCCCACAGTCCCATTCCATCCTCCAAGCAGAGCGTGCCCTGCCTTGGTCCCAGGCCAGTTCTCCATGGACACCTCACCTGCCCCTGTTCCATCTTGTGCCCCCAGTGGTGGGGGTGGGACGGACAGGCTGGGGAGCCCAGGCTGGGGGTAGCAATGGAAATTGGCAGCAGGAGTTAGAAGGAGCTGCTGCTGCCAGGGCTGTTGGAAAGCAAGTCCAGCCACCATGTCATCCCAGCCCCGCTGCATGCCTGGGGGCAGCAGGACTGGCTGTACGTGACATGCTCCAGGATGCCCTTTGTGCCTGGGCTAAACAGGGCTGAGGGACCTACCATAGGCTGGACAAAATCCCTTGGCAGGCCAGATTCAGCCTCAGGCTGTATTTTGCCTACCCCTGCTCTAATAATTAGATTAGGGAAGTAAAACTTGAGGTTCAAGACTCAATACTTGCAGTGGCTTAACTGAAGGAAATGAAAGTAGAAACAGATTTGAAAAATATTGGACCAAGAGAACATGACCGATGTGTTTTTAGACTCGCTTTTGATTACATTTAGTGTCTCTGTATGCTGATGATTTTGATAAAGTTATACAAATAAATGGAGACCTATTAGCACTTGTCAAGTCTTATTTGAAGGATGGTGTTATATTTGTCATGTTCCATTCTTCAGGCATCTGATCTGTCAGAATTTATGAGCCACAGGGCATAACTTGACATAAGTGTCTCTTAGTAATGGGTAAACATCACTGTCACTACAGTCATGGTCTGATTTGACAGCAATGACAAGTTAGTCTAAATTTCTAAGTACAGCAAAGCTCCACATAAAAATACATTGTGTTAGTTTGTCAATGCAGTCATTTTATTTTTTCTCTTTTAGAATATCCCTGATGTAGATGACGAAGGATACAGTATTAAACCAGAGACCAGTCAGAATATCCTTTTATATAATGTATATACATGGATATGAATATCATATTATCTACTGCAATAACCGTGGAAATAGTACTTGTATGTTACTGAGAATATGGGAATAACTAATTAATTGCTAAATATAATAAAATGAAGTTTAGACTTTTGTTACAGCCTCTTGTACTCAGATGTTCACTACTTCTTGAAAAATTCAGTATTTGTTTTGGCCCCAAAGTAAATTTTAGTGGAAACTTTGAAGGAAATCTATTTCGTAGTTTTCAAATTCAAAGGTAGGATTTGGTCAACTTCTGAACTTTAAGAAGATGTTTGATCAAATTAAAAATGTCTGGACAGAATAACTTCAGTTTACCTCCACGATGGTAACAATTGTAATAGCAAACTTAAATAATGGCAGTCATTTCTCATGCTGTGTAATCTTCTACCATGGTGGCCTTCTCTTTATGACATCATAAACTGAACTGTATGTTCTTCTTGGGGAGCTCCTATAGGATGAAAAGCAGTTAATGCTCCTTTTCTGTGTAATAAGTTTATTCAGTCAGTTAATTTGTGGAAGGCTTTGGCTGCCATTTTCTTAATTAGCAACCTGCTTTTGCTAATCAGTCATTCCTTTTTCTGTACACTTATTTTCTACGTCAGTGAGCCTTGATTACAGGAGATGTTATCAGTTATTTTTTCAGGGTAGTTTGTGGTTTTCAAGTCTTTCCCTTTTATAGGGGCAGATTCATTCCTTCATTCTTCTCTTATCACCAATAAAGATAGGTCCTGGCCAGGACCTCTCAGTACCTGCTATAGATCCAAGCAAGCCAGTTACTTTAGGAAGCTCTTCAGTGTTGTTAGGAACTGCCTCTTTGTTGTTTATGATCCAGAGGAGTATAACTAGGTTTAGATCACAAACATCTGCATTTTTCAGCAACTACAAGCACTTTGAAGCAGATAGTATTCAGTCCATCATAGCTTCCTTGGCTTCATTAACGTGCTAGTTGTATGACTACAGATGCTCACTGTTCCGTGAAAGATTCTTGCAACTTGCCATAACCCATCAACATTTGCCTCTTGGCATCAGCCACACAAGTGTTTTCAAAGGTCCTGTTCACCCAGCTATACTGTTTCCAAGTTTTATATGTAATTTGTTGTTTAACAGTTGTTTCAAATTGCTAGCCAAACTTGTGAACTGAAATGCATTTTTGTTTTGTGTAAGTTTATCAGATAGAACAAAAGTGAATTACTTACAGCTCAGTGAATGATTTGCTTGAGTGCCCTCATTTACCATGCTATCTCTTCAAGGAGGGGGATGAAAAAGGCAATCAATCTAGTGGAGAAGCTAAGTGATTTGCAATCCCCACTGGCCATACAGGGCTCCAGCTTCTAGAAAGCACAAAAGTATTCATTGATTTGATGATGTTGACAAAGAAACATTCAAAATCTCTCCTAAGAGTTTCCCTGACTTAGTGGAACCTCAGGTCAAGTGAGATTTTTCTTTTTGATCCAAGCTATATAAACATTCTGTTGGCAGAAACTCTGAAATAAAATTACTAAAAATGTGCTTTTACAGGAACCATAGTGGACAATCATTCCTACCATGGAAACTCTTCAGTGTTGGGAAGAGAGATGGAGGAATACTAATCCTAATGTCTTCTGACCACCTTCACTGTTTCTGGCACTCAGAACCAGATAACCCAGAGTGGTCTTTGCCTTGACATGGGTTTCTGAATCAGTTATCTCAGTTCATCACACCAAGTCTAAAAAATTTCACTTAGAAGTTTTTTTCTGGTAGGGGGAAGTTAACCTTGAACCATGATGATGGACATTTTGCTGATGTTAAGTAAGATTCTTGGCTACAATGCTGTCTTTTCAATGTTGAATCCATTTTGGGGTAGGTATTGGTCTTTCCCTATGCAAAGCTTTTCTGAGTAAGGGAGCTCCTTTGAGTGGTTTCTTTGCATACCATATATACTTTTTAGATGTTGTATTGCATATATTTCAGAGCTTCCACCAATATAGTTCTTGGGTGTAGAATCCCAAGTCCTGTGGTCTGTGTCCTATAACTAATTCCCCAGATAAGTCTTGCCTCTCTTGAGTGTGGGGAACTGCAAGACAAAATCTGTATTCCAAGTTTTAGTTCAAAATTGTATTTGTGATGGGCTCCAACAGTCTAAATCCTCCTTGAGAGCCTTGCCTTTTTTAAAGTTATGAGTTATAATGATTTCTCCTAGGTAAGTTAAGTGGCTGGCAAGCATGGTTTGCTGATTTAAGGGATGCAAGTGATGAAGTACACCAGTTGATTGTTATAGGTATCTGCATAAGCAGAAGAGGAGCAGACCTATTTCCAAAGAGATTGCTGTTAATCTGGGGAACTAAGTCTTTTATATCTCTGTCCATTCTAACATACGCAAGGCAGATATATATATCTGCAGATAATATATATTGCAGTAGCCTACCTGAAACTACATGTATACCAGACTAGAAGTATGTCATCATTTTCAATTTTTGACATTGCATGCAAATTAGAAATTTCACTAAAATAACTGTGTTTTAATTGAGAAGATAAAACTGTCATAATGCTGATGTGTTTCTGCCTCATTTAACAAAGCCTTAAAAACTGTATGCAATCAGACATATACAGTAATGGTGTTGTATTAGTTCTTTGTTCAGTAAGTTGTAAACTTAAACCTATATGCCATTTAATTCTTGTTGTTAATCATTTCTTTAAAAATAGAAATTGAATGCCCAAAATCCTATTGTTATATGTTGCATATTTTAAAGCACAAAATGGGGAAAAGAACTGTTACATTCTTGTGTTAATTGACAATTAATTAAGGAATCTGACCTGTTGTGGCCATTCTGAGCTATTTGCATTAGAAAAATTGTTCTATTATTTTTCTTTAGTTAAGTAACACAGAGGTTTTCAGCCTTTTTTTAAGGCATGTACCCCTTCTGGTGGGTACCCCTTCTGGAATGTACCCTCTTCCAGATGAGGCGGGGGGGAGGGGAGAGAGGGGTGCTGATGGCTGGCTGGATGCAAAGCTGGCAGTATAGCAGCACGTAACTGATGGTGGGGGACAGGGAGCTTGCATGCAGCTGCCACCATTCACCACTTCTCCCCACAGCTGCACACCACTTCCCTGCACCGCCGTATGTACCCCCTGGGGCCCTCCCAAGTACCCCCGGGAATACGCGTACCCCCAGTTGACAGCCTCTGAAGTAACGCATCAAAGCAAAGAGCTGGTATTTTCTGAGAGGTGCCCAGAATCTAAAAATGTTGAGAATCACTGATCTAAGGATCTCAAAAAAACTTACAAAATGCAAGTCCTATAAGAGTATTGTGAAGTAAATATCACAGAAGAGTAGAAACAAGTCAAAGAGTATCACAGAGTAAGTGACTAGCAGAACTGGGAAGAGAATTCAAAACTCTTGACTCTGTTTTGTGCTTCAGCCTAAAGATTTGTTTTAAAATCTTATTTTTTTACTCAGGTTTTTCATGCCTTTACATTTGTAATCTTATAGTGGTATTAACACACTTTCTGCCATTTGTTCCATTAGTACAATAGTTCTCAACCTTCTTAGACTCAACGCAGTCCTCATTAAACTCATGGCACCCCTTGAAAAATGCCAGCTCTTAGTTGTCACACAATTTTTACTACAGAAAAATAACAGAACAATTTTTATTTTGCAAAGGACTCAGAAAGACCACAAGAGGTCAGAATGTTTCTAACACTAGATTCCTATTTAAAATCTCTGGGTTTATGGCACCCCATTTGAGAATCCCTTCAATATTAGGTACTTAGAGTATACGCTTCAGCATTTAACTTGAAAATATGAATGTTGTCAAACTATAGATAGTTTTTTCTCAAGTAGCTATTTTAAGACACTTTTAACTTTGTTAGATTCATGTACGTGTTCTGGTGTTTTACTTGTTCTAGATGTGTTGATTTTTTTTGTGGTATGTGTGAGAAGCAGATTTGTTCATGAATCAGGTGACTTTGAAATACCAGTTACCTTAACTAAGAAAAACATACCAAAGAGAACCATTTCTACTCATCCAGTGATTCTGACTCTGAAGAAGATGAACCTAGAAGGTTCCACGTAGAAATCAAACCTGTACTGCCAAACAATAGTTCACACTACACTATGGCTTCATTAGATGAATTAAAAGTATCTATTGGCAATATTGCTCTTTCTCCAGCAACTTCTGTAAGTAATTTTCTTCCTTGCATTTTATTTTATTAGAGAGGAAAAGTTGTTATACTTTCAGCCAAAATCTGAAATTTTCAAATCAGCACCTTTTCACAAAAAAGGGATGCATACATTTTACTTGCACTTAATGCAAAGTAATTCTAATTCTGTAGCTGAATTTTCCCTTCAGGTTTCTAGGACAGATCCCGTGAAAGATATTTTATATTTTTGTGTGTGTGTAGTATATAACATGCTGTAGTCCCCAAATTTAGGCATTTGGTCCCCAGAATGGAATGTTAAATCACAGTTACTCTTCCAGACTCCCTGTACTACAACTGTGTCAGTCACTTCATCTGTTGGCTGTGCTTGGCCCGCAGAGCCCCACCATCTGACCCCTGGTGTGGCCTTTGGATCCCAGCTGACCCATGTGAGGCATGGTACATGCTGTACCAGCCCCATGGGAAAGGCCTGGGATATCTGCTGCACACAGCGTCCATCCCAGCCGCTCTGGCACTTCAGTGAATGGGTGGATGCGTGCAGCACAGATCCCAGAACAGCTGGAATAGGCACTATGTGCAGTGCAGTCTCACTGGGGGTGTGCACTGCAGATCCCAGACCAGTTGGAGCAGGCTACACACAGTGCCCACCTGGGCTGGGCTGGTAAGCCAGCCACAAAAACATTCCACGTTTAATGTAGAACGCCTTTGTGATTGGTTTGTATCCCACTTAAACTGAACATGTGGCATGTATCCCAAGTCCAGTCCTGGCCTTTGCCTGATCCTGGGCCTCAGCTGACGGTTTAATTTAAAATGGGAAATTGGATTGTGCAGGAACTTGAGGGTTCAGGCATGATGGTCAATTTTGGGGATCAGATTTGGGATTCCAGTCACGCAATTATATTAATATCTACCAGGGCTCAGCAGAGCAGCCAGAAAACCTTTACAAACACTCACCCTGTAAGTGGGAGAACTGAGTGATGGGCTGTTCTCAACCTGAGGAAATTAAAGCCTGCATTTCCCAACCTTCCAGCTGAGTGCTGTACCAGGCTGGGTAGATACCTTCTACCTTGCCTGTTGAAAAGGTAGAAGGTACCCAACTACTGTGCATCCAAGAATGCAAGATTAATGAGAAAGAAGGAGAGTAAGCAGAAGGGAGCATGTTGTTGTTTGCACCATGGTTAAGGTTATTTACTAACTAGAAATATTTCCTTAAATTTATTTCCAGGATACTACATGTTTTCAGCCACAATAATAGTCTTCAAGTCACCACTTTTTGCAAGATAAATGCAGTTACTTTTATTCTGTCTCCTTTTCTCCCTAGTTTCTCCACTGTTTTTAGGACTAGATCTCAATAGGATGTAGCCTAGGGGCACCCAAGCCAGCTTTAAAGAAACTAGCTCGATTTCTAGAAGCACTATAAGCCACAACAGCACAGACATTATAGTGTGGGTTTATTTATTCTCCTTCTCAGGGAAAGCAGAGTGAATTAACTTCACTAAGCTTCATGCCACTGCCTCTAGACTGTTTCTTATAACAAAACTAGTTAATTTAAGTTGTCTTGGTTATGTTTAACACTGTATTGCAGTATTAGACATATCCAGTCCTCCCAGGTTTGGGTTGGACCTGCCCTCACTTCTGTTGCTCTTCTTTGGTCACTGGCAGGTGTCGTCTCATTAGCGGTGTCCCATCATATGTTTTCTGCTACAACCAGTTAGTTCAATAGTTAGCAGAGAGGTGTATGTTCTTTCCTGGCTTCTTTGAGGAGGTGGATAGCCACCTGAAGATTGTCTCTGCCTTCTCAAGATTCAAGCTCTATTTTTATATTCCAGCCTGCCCTCTGCTAGCAGTATGTTTGTGACTGCTTTGTTTGTTTGAAATGTGATATTAGATCCAGGGATAAGATGTGCTCCAGGGCCATATTAAGTAATGGACAGAAAATAACAACACTTATACTCTCCCAAAAACCACTTATGTGCTTTGTGTATAGTAGCATTTAATTTGGATTTAAATAGCACTATTTTGGGGACCCTTCTTAACATATGCACAAAAACAGTACTGGAATAGAATTGGATTGCAAGTGCTTTAAAACCATGAGGATAAGACTGAATGCTTTAATAAATGATGAAATACATCATTTTAAACCATAACTTAAATGTTTTCCTTAAAATGATAGAATGATTGCTTACACACTAGGAATAATGCTACATATGAACCTTTATAGGTGATACTCAAGCAAAATAAGGGTAAGAATAAGCAGGTCTCTATATTAAAGCAAATGTTTTGCATAAAAATCTAAAAATATTGTTTCCCTTTTTCTTCCAATTGCCAATATCAGAGACACAGTCCTGTAAGTACAGAATGATTCATATTTTTGTTAATATTTTTAACTAAAAACTAATTGTATTTTTATTTATTTATTTTGGGGAGGAAGTGTGTTCTTGTGGTTGAACCATGGGCTGACTCTAGTGGCATGGTTTCCATTCCACTGTTAAAAAAACTGCTATATGTTATACTTTTTTTTTTTTTTTAAGTTTTCAGTTTACGCATCCTATAAAATGGATATAACTATATTTACTGAAGTCTCAGTTGTGAGGCTTTATATTAACCATCCTAAAGCACTTAAAAGAAGACAGTATTAAATTGTGAAGAAGTTTTATTACATTTTGATTCTTTTATCAGTAGGTGTGACAAATACAATGAAATTGTGTGTTTAAAAAGTTATTCTTCTGATTTCAGTGTTGCTTTATTGTTTGGTTTTCTAAATCTAAGTTTTTATTTTTGTCTTGTTGATTTAATTCCTCAGTCTCTGTGATAACTGACGGTATTTGAGAACTGTTCTCATTTCAGCTAGCTAAATTGTAACAGTTTTTTCCACTCTTGGAGTCCCACTAATTCTTTAGTATTTAGTTTCCAAGCACAGATTCAAACAACTAGTTTTCTAATCGTTTCTCCCTTAGCTGACATGTTGCCATTTTTTCACACTTTTCATTTCCCTACTCCAATTCCCACCTTCAAACTCCCAATAGCTTTTCCTTTGCTCCATCTTACTTGCTTCCATAGGGCTGTCACTAAGCTCCTGTTCATGCTCCAGCCTCTCCCAATTCCAGGATATTTTCCCTGCATTGAAAACAAAATAATGAAAGCAATGTATACCTCCTAAATGTATAGCACTTCAACACTTCAGTATTTTAGTAAGTTGTTGGTAGGAATGCTTACTTCTATTTTTTTTTTATTTATATTTTAGGCACAAATGAACCGGAATTCATCTAGTAAGTGTTAATTTTTAGCTGTTAAGGTATTCTTGATATTTTTCCTTTCAAATTCACTGTATTCATCATAAAATTGAATTTTATGATTATGGAGAAGAAAAAGTGTCAAATTTCTATTTTTGTGTTCTCATTGATTAGAAAAAGAATGCTTATTGCTAGCTCTATTGCCCTAGAATAATAAAAATTGAATTACTATAGACCATGTACAGGCATTATGTTGCTGTCAGGAGAACCGCTGCTCTCCCAATAGAAACAACAAGTGTACAAGCATTCGTTAAATTTCTCCTGGGGAAAACTTGCGCCTTCCTGGAGAAAGATGTTCCCAGTACTTGTACACTTCCCTCAGTCTGGTCCAGAGGGAACTGGAGCAGTCACTGAAGCCCCCGGCCACTCCCTAGATCAGAGATTCCCTTAGGGAGTTCTCTGTCTGGGGTGTAGGCAGGTGCTTTGATGGCTAATCCAATCCCCTCCCAGACTGGTCCAAGAGGGAAGTAGAGTAGCTACTCCTTGCCTGACTGGTCTGGAAAGGGACTAGAGCAGCCTCTGCTCCCCATGCGTTCTCCAGACTGGGATCACCTGGTCTGGGGAAGACAGAGAGAGCAGAAGATAGAGGGGGCAACTGTAGACTGAACACCTGTAGTGCTCCTAAAACGATTGTGGATATTTCTCAGATGCTTCCACTGCTGGAAATTTAACTTCTGTTCAAGGCCAGAATTAACCACTTAGCAGCCATAGTAATAATCTGTGGGCAAAATTAAATTAACCTATTTACTAAAACTTCAAAGCAGTGAATACACTTCACACAGAGATTTTATAACACCTAATTCCTCAACTGTTTCCAAAAGTTTCAGAAAATAGATGGATTTTGTAGGGTCCCCCAACAATCTGTAGTCAGATATGGCTATTTGTGACCAATGATGGAAATCAAGCCTCCGCATCAAGCTTTCACTCTCCTCCTCCTGAAAACTTTTGTCTTGTCTGCTGTGAGTTCTCACACCTCCTAAAACAGTATTCTTCCTCATTAAAAATCTTAGACCCATTTTAAATGTCCATTTTAAAATCCATGGCAGTGAAGAGTCAAGCTAAGCTCTTTGTAGTGTTCTCTCTCCCAGTCCCCTTCCAGAGGCCTTGCCCCACTTGCTTTGGGTCCAAATTGGACCAGTGGGTAGGGGTGGGGTTATCTCTGTCTGTTTAGTGCAGGGTCACTGAAACAGTAACAGGTGTCATTCCCAGTCCTGTCTAAATAGCTGTGCTATTTAATAAAGATATAAAAGGTGATTCACATGCATTATGAGGAGCTGAACTCCTGAATCTTTACACACACAAGTGACTTTGGTAATCTTAATTGTCCAAAATATATATATGCATTATGTTTATTTTACAATATATATGCATTATTGTATTTTCCAATACAAATCTCAAATAAAGCCAATATACAAAGTGGTCAAAAATGAATGTGTCATGTTTCACGATGGAATTGATTTGTAGTAGCCCTTTCGTATTTTAATGCAGAGTAGAACTTGCTACGAGTCAGTGATTAGCATTTTAATCAGTAACATTCTAGAGACTAAAAAATAGTGTTGTTTGTTTTAAAGTATTAGAGTTCATACCTGAATTGTCTTTTCCTGTGAAATGAAGTGACCAGTAGCATTTCTTAAAAGTTACTGTTTTTCATTTATTCATCCTTCCCATTTCAGCAGTCTTGGATTAATTTTAATTACAGCTATTAACATTCCAGATTATTTTTATCATGAAGCTGAATGATTTTGTTAATCAAATTTCATGGCTTTTATTTGTCATAATAGTGTATTTTTTGCTTAGGTGAAGAATTAACAAAATCAAAGCTTTCTGCTCCATCTAATGAGTAAGTGCCACATTTAAAATTTAGGTTTTACATTGAATGCCATTTCAGCAAAGTTTGGTTTTGTTTTTCTGTAGAATTCTTAAATCTATCATTTGACTTGGATGTTCAGTTTAGGCTGGATATCTAATGACTTCTAGGATTTAAGGAATAATTTCAGAATTCTTTATAAAAATTGGGAATTTCCTACTATCTTTAACTCTTTCTTGGTCTAGTCTTTTTTTCTACCTCCTTTTCTTCATCTTGCTTGCTTCAATTTATATTTATAGCTAAAAGAATATTAAATAGGTGTATAATAAAGTCATTTACATTAAAATGTTACTGTAATTTAAATACAGTGAAAGTTGGTGAGCCCAAAGTGTGAGCTGATCTACACAGATTTGTACAGGAACATTACTAAATAATGAATGTGTTTTGTTGCAAGTCAAAACACAACATTTGTACCATGAAATCAATATCCACCCCCAAACTTGCATTGATATAACAAAAAGGATGAATTAATTACAGAAAGTTGCTTTGGTGTGTATTAATATGGAAAACAGGGGGATTTTTACCTATATTTATCCAACAGTATTTTACCTGAAAAAGTATTCATGTGTCTGAATGTCTTAATCCCCACTACAACTACACTGTATAAGTGACTGGTAACTTGATTGTTACAAATATATATGTGTTATGTTTATTTTCCAAAATTAATTATTACAATAGAAAGGGGACCAGTGACCTCCTAGCATGGGATCCAGTCTTTGGAAGTTCTCTTGAATCATCATCTTCAGCTTCATTGACAACTTCATCCTCATCAGGTAAAATGTCTCATAATAAAAATTATATAGATTCTGTGTGTATGTTAGAAACACTCTAGGATTTTCTTGCTTCATTTTATTTTTTAACATTGGAAGGGTTTTACTTTTATTGGAGATAAATTTGTAAAATCATACATCCTTCATAGAGTGGTGTAAGTTGTATACATAAGTAAAAATATGTTAGCTGATGGTTTATTAAAGGGGATGGGGGTTGTTCTTACTGCAGTGAGTAGGTTGAACTGGAGCAGAATCTGCTGTTTGTACACTATCTAAACAAGTTGCACACTACTCTTCCTTCCCTCCCTGCCTCCCCCATTTATTTCTTAATCTACCTACTGCTACTGTATTCTGTAAGTGTTGCTTTTTTTCCTGGGCTATTGTCTTTGTGATATGGGAGGGGCTTTTTCTCCCCTGTGGGAAAGAGAAAGAAGAAATCCTGTTACAGAAAGATTAAAGGTGACTCCAGAATTTTTTTTAATGCTTGTGCCTCCTGACTTTCTTCTCCACTGAATCTTGCACATGAAAGAACATAAGGGAGCATGCTTAAGCAGGGGCATTTTGCTTTAATTGGTTTCAATACTCAGCCATGGCACTTGCAGCAATACAGTATTACCACGCTATTTAGCTGCAGGCACTCTTTTTAAAATGAAACCCATTCTCTTACCCTCCTCCTTCATAAACATGTTTTGATTTTAAAATAATAGAGTATTTTCCCCTATTTTCAAGTTCTTAATGGAAGGACCCAGTAAAAACAGTGAAAAATCATTTCAGGAAGTACATGATTGGATTGTCTATCTCCCTACATATGACTTTGTCAGGATAAGCTTTGGACCTCTAATTTTATTATAATGTGAATGGTTTAATACAGAGGTTGGCAACCTTTTCGCCACCATATACCACTGCTTACAACCCTGCCCCTGCCATGGGCCACAGCCCTGCACCCCCTGGCAAGTAGCAGATGCTGCAAGAAGAATAGATAGAAAAAGGCAGGTGCAGGACCCTCAGAATGCCTCCCCTGCTGGAGCTGCTGTGACCAGAGCGTGCTGTCATGGGCTGGATCTAGTTTATTTATGGATTGTAGTTTACTGACCCCTGATATGATAGGTTGTCAATTACACATTTATTGCATTCTTTGTTAACTTAACAATGTGACTTTGAGATAAATTTTTGCTTGTAATTAACAGATTAGGTTTGTTAACAGGAACGTAGACATCCCAATGATACCCTAATGTGCTTCACTGGGTCTTTACAATACAGATCTGATGAAAGAGAAATGATGAACTATTGTTTTTACAGTTTTGACATTATGATGTCATTCTTTTAACCGAGTTTTAAAAACACTTTGCAGCCAAGAGCTAAGTTAGTTTGTCAGCTGCTTAATGGAACTAAACATTTTTTTTGAAAACACAATCATTTCTGCTCAGAGTTTACAAAAAGCTCCTTTCTACATTGAACTGCTAATCTTTTTAGGGAATATTTTAACCTAATCAATTCCTTTAATGGAATGCTAAGAAATGACCAGGCTAAGTAAACATTTTAAAATCTTATCTCTACATTTTTCTGTAAATGGTTAATTACATTTTAATTATGGAACTAGATTATTTATGTTGCAACAAATTAATGAGGTACTTAACTGTAATAGGTAATGGTTTAAACATTATCAAATATGAATAAAAAGCTAACTTAAAAATTATTTTTTAAGAATTTTTATTAATTTAGAAGTAGACGATACAAAATTTGGATAGCAAAGTGTTATGTGATTTCCAGAAACTTAGGTTGACTGTCTGTTGTAGGTAGTTTGCTCAAGATGCTCATTTTCAGAAGGTATTTCAGAAGCAACCCTGTTGTATGCAAATTTATTTGTAATTCCTATGCGATCTCTTGATATTTTCTTTAGCACAGTCTGTTCCTTTATATACATAAAAAAGCTTTCTTCCCCTTGTATCCCATCTAAAGTCTATGTACAGCAAATACTACCAGTAACTCAGGTAAAAATGGTAATTTTTTATTCAATAAGAAAAATACTTTATAGCACATAAGAAAAAGAAGTTCCTAAGGAGCTGATCCAAGCCCTTTGAGGTGCATGAGAAAACTCGCATCGATTATTTGTAGGCTTTGTATTAAGCCCTGAAAAATATTATTTTACACTATTTGTTATAATAGTGGCTTAGACTTCTGCAAAATAATTACTTGTCAGTCAGTCTTTTAGAAATGAACTCCTATCCATTGCTTGAGTGTATGTCTGCAGAGCACAATGCAGTGCTGTATCGAAGATGCTCAGCATAACTCTGAGCAAGCTCATTTGGGTGTTGGAAGCATTATAGCTACATTAGCATTGCACTTTGCCCAAGCTTCTTAGTAGGGTTCGTTAGTTCAAGCAGAGGCATGTGCTGACACAGCCTTACTGCTTCTAGTACTCAAGCCAGCATGTTTAGAGCTATTTCAGGTATGTCTGCATAGCATTGTGTTGTATTATGTAGATAGATGTACCCCATATTTCACTGAAGGTTACTGATATATATTGCTTTGAGAGTCTGCATCGCTTTTGAAAGGACATCTGTAGTTAGGCACTGTAGATAGGATTTTTCAAAAACACTCAACTTTGATATGACTCTACTTCCTCCAAATCAGCATGAATTTTAGTTTAACTTCAATAAAAGCCAAGTTAAGCCAATGTTAAAAGCTTTTAAAAATTTCACCCCCAAAATTTCTACTAATAAAAGTTATCTATATAGATTATAGGCTTGGCAGGATTCATTTTTTATTTGTAAATGTTTGAGTGTCAGTTTCACCTCACACTCTCAGGCCAACAAAAAACTATTTCCATCGTTAATAATCAAAACAGGATGTAAGAAAAATTATGGCTGATGAAGTAAGTGATGACAATGGGAGCAGTCCTACAGAACTACTGACTGTATCTTGGACTGCAACTCCCAGAAAGCCCAGGGTACTGGAAACAAAGGAAGAGCAAGTGACAAAGTGGATGAGGGAGCTATGGGCGACTGGAGTCGAGGTTGATGGCAGCTCTGCTGCTTAGCTAAGGGTAGTCCTACAGTAGTTATGTTTGTCACAGTAGGTGGTTAAAACTGCCTGATCTTGAAAACTTAAATCAATAAAAATCTAAATAAATGCTTAAAAAGAAACATGGATAATTATGTCACAGTTATTTTTTTTAAAAATCTAATTCTCCCAAGCCTAATTATGAATATTCTGTGTGTGCATGCAAGCACTCATGCACGCACACATACAGACATCCATAGAATGTAGATTGTTTATTTTTCTTATCATTTGAGAGAGACATCTCAAGGTCTAAAAAGTCACCATATGATGACTCTTTTCTTTATATCATAGCTTAAAACATTTCTTTTGGGCAATATTTTGCAGTTCAGTGTTAATTTAATTGAATGTGACTTAACTGCTAAAGCCTTTGAGTTAATGGTAATCAGAGCAGTTTAGAAGTAATCTTTGGTTATCCAGTAAATAACTTTACTGTAGTGGAACTTGAAATTAACATAGCTATCTTAAGAAATGACAGATTATTTTGTCTAGTTATTTGTATTGTAAAACTGCTTCTTTTCTGTACTTTTTTCTCTTTTCTATTTCTTCCAAAGTGTATTTTAAAAGTCTGCAGGGGTGTGTGTGTGTGTGTGTGTGTACATAAAAACTATGTGTAAAGTATTTATCAGGAAAAATAAGACTTGTTAAGTCTGTATATATATATCAGGGTTTGGAAAAATCCACCCAACCATGGTTAATAAACAACTTTCCTGGGAGCATTATACACTCTACAGAATCTAAGATTTTATCTTAAAAGATGTACCTTGTTATGGCTGCAATGAGAAATTGCCTAATATGAACTGAAGGCAGGTTTGCACTACAGATGCTTTACCACCATTCTCTCAAATATGTGCCATGGGTCCCTACGTCCTACTTCCTGTACTGGAAGTAGGGTAGCCACCTTCAAGCTAATTAGCATCAATTCTGAGCTACACTGATTAGCCCTTCTATAATGTTGTATGAATGTGGCTACACTGTTTGGTTCAGGGTATAATGCAAGCTAAGCTAACCTCAAACAATCAATGGAGATGCCTCAGCAGTCTAGGGAGAATGTCATCATGTATATTTGTTTTTGAGTGGGGAAGTTTGGTGTCTGATGAGCTTTCTAAGCTATATGTCCAAGTGGGTGAGGATGAGGTTAAGGATATGAAAGTTGTTATATGGAAGGATAAGGCAGGGGAAGTTCTTGATGGGGTAAGTTGATGGGAGGTAGGGTGAGAAATTTTGGAATGACATGAGAGAAGAAATTGCAAACAGAAAATAAATGGGAAGAAGTAATGAATTTGATGTAGGAAATGAGATAGATATTAAGGAGCTGAATGAAGGAAGAAGAAAAAAAAAGATACCAAAGACCATTCAGTAGATGGTGATTGATTAGAGGAAAGAAGAAAAAATTGAAAGCAACTGACAAAAAAGGTATTACAAGGAGAAAGGTAGTGAACTACATCTTAACCTTGTCATTTTTTATTATATTTTTTAACATAATCAGGCAGAAGACAAGACAGGGTGGTACCATAGGGTGCCTATACAGGCAGTCCTTGACATACAACGTTTCACACTTACAACATTTATAAATTGACACCCTGTTTCAACTTTATGACATCAGTTTTGACTTTACAATGCTTGATCCGATGCGACGCCATGCCACTGAAGAAGTTTGCTGCGTGCTCATCTCCCTGGAGAACATCTGTCCAAACTGCCTTGGACATTTTCTTTTAGAAAGCAGACAAGACTCCAGAAAAATCTGCAACCAAGACTCCTGAGAAGACTCCAGCCAAGAACCCTTCAAAAAGTCCAAGCAAGAGCCTTTCAAAAAGTCCAGCAAAGAGACCTCAAAGAAGTCCTTCTAAAACAATATGATTGCTATTTACAATATAAGTACATTAATGTAGCTATATTACTCATCTATAATTGATCAAGTACAAGATTCTAGGGTATTTTTGGTAAAAATAGTATATCGGGCCTTGGTTCAGGAACAAATCCCCCATTTATAACCTTGTTTCTTAAGAGCAAATTGGTTCTGAGTTGCAATGTTTCGACTTAAGACGTGGTTTTCAGGAACCAATTGTGTTGTAAGTCCGAGGACTGCCTGTACATGCAAATCGAGGCTGCTCCAATGCGCTATAGTTACAGTGCATCAGAGCAGACTCGGCTGGAGCGTGGTAATTACCACAGTGAAAAGTGGTGGTGGGGGGGGGGGGGAGTGGCACTTTAACTAAAGCTCTAGAGCTGCTCTAATTAAATCACCTCCCCCCCTCCCCCCCAACCTCCTGGACCACATGTATAAACGCCCTTAGAGATTAACTCATTCAGAGAGGCATAAGCTTTCATAGGTGACAGCCTACTTTGTCAGATGCTGTGATTGGACTTAGAGAGCTGGGGTACTAAAAAAAAAAAGAATTTAAATACAAAATGTAGAGCAAGTGGGAGGAGGGGAGCGCTAGTGAGCAAGGTGAAGGTGAGTTGAAAAGATCAAAAGAGATTTTTTTTTAAAGCAGTCAAGAATTTCCACTGAATAATATAAAGGGTATAAAAACTAGTCCAGGCATTATAATTAAATGAAGCACTCAAACATTATGGAATTGCTTTATTTCTTACATTGCAGGTGATGCATCTTTGGAGGTGTATTAGAGCAGTTATTTCTCACGTGGGGAGATTTGTATTTGCATTTATATAATTTCATCATGCTTCTAGCTTTCAATTTTTCCCTTTTCCTTCAGCTACATTAAAAGAACAAAATAGGAACTCCTACTCGTCATCATCATCATCTATCATTGATTTGCCTGGGTGTAGAATATCTGAATCTTTTCTTGGAAACCAGAAAAATTCTGGGTCTAGAAGCCTATCATCACCAGACTTTACCACTAGCATGCTATGCAAATTTGATGTGATCACAGCACCATCAGGGAGCACAGATAATATGTCTCTTGTTTCATGGTCTCAAAGTCAGTGGATTCCTTTTACTGATGAACTTCTTCATATTAAGCCCACAAGTGCAGGCCAGAAGAAGCCTCAGAGATTGCATTTTAAACCTGACAGTATCTGCATTGCTTCTCCTTCTTTGCTTGGGAATTCTTCCAACAGCTCTGCCTCTGAGGATCAAAGTGACCTTTACAATAATTTTACATGCCATGAAAAATTATTCATTGAAGAAACTGGCAATATTGCTGAAATTTCTTCTACATCATCAGTACCACTGGACTATAGTTTAGTCCCTGCTTGTGTTCATATATATAAGGGTATGGCAAGCATGCATTGTGTATTGCTGTTTCCTAATAACTGACTCCAGGAAGCGGACTTTAAGTTGCCTTCTCTTCCTCATTATTGCTCACCTGACACAAAATTAATTCATCTTCTCATCTAAAATATACTAAATCTTACCAGCATTTTAGTACCAAGTCTCCCAAATCAGTCAGGATATATAAATAAGTATTCAACCCTAGTGGGGTTGATTTTTCTTGATCGTGTATAACTGCTTTTTAAAAAGCACTGAATGAAATATTTTGTGGGATGTCAGAAGCAGTTAGTAATCACATTTCAGGAAAAAGAAAATTTCAGAATTGTAAAAATTGTGTTTTAAGTGTCTTTTGTATAATCATTTTAGGACAAAAAGATTAAAATCTATATTTATCTTTTCGATGTTTAATAAAGCTAATTTTGAAGGGGGACTGTGACACAAGCTAATACTTGTTAAAAAGGTTCCATCTTTTCATTGGGTACCTGTGACACTGCAACAATCTCTGAGCTTAATGTTATGCTTCTAGTAAGCATGACAGTGAATTTAAAGGACTGATAGGTAACTGTAGTCTCTCCTTTGTTTACTTTTGGCATTGGTGTTACTAATTTAGATGGGATTATCAAATATGTATGTCATTGACTCTTCTTTCATCCCAAAGCAGTGATAAACCTGCCATTGACTTGAAAAAGACTGACTGCTTTTGAAAACCCTACTTTGAATATAACTTTTGAGTGACACTTCTTCTGCTTCAAGCATGTCTAAAAGGCTTTTGGGGCTGAGAATGGGATATACTGCAGTGCCTTTCCATCATGTAATTGTGCATAAGGCTTTTTTTGTTTTGTTTTTTTAAGCACAATTTGGATCCAGCATACTCACTGGATGACTTGTAATGGCTATTCTCAACTGCAATTATACTCAAAAAAGTGGCTTGTAAAAATAGCATCTTCTTATTGAGGCTTTGTGCCACCCTGGCATGTATTCAAAATTCTAGGTGCTCATTTTGGAGGTGGTTTTTTTCTTTAGTGGTAGTCCTGCTGAGTTGCATGCTTTTTTGCACAGCAATAGAATTATTTACTGAAGTCTAATAATTTATTTTCACTGTGCAAAACCCACTGAAATCAGTGGAGTTTTCATGTTTTCAGATGGCCTGATTTGTTGATAATAGAACTGTAGAGCTGGCCTCATGGGTTAAAAATGGCCTACGGTCTTATTACAGGGGAGAGATGCAAGAAGTAGAAGGCAGACTTCTACAGGGGTGGAGGCTATATCTTTTTATCCTCAAAACTGAGGATATTTTACTTAGAATGATTAAGGAATAATAAGCATAGAAGCCTCATAATGCTGTTTTAGAATCACTTTTCAGAGTACCATGGAACTACGCTTTAAGGCCTCAGTATTTTTTTTATAATTATGAATTCCTGCAAAATGACATTTGACAATTACTAGAAACTTAACACTTATGATTCCATTCAAATGAAATTACATTTATTTTCAGTGCATCAATTGTAATTTGCTTCAAATTATTTTCTTACAGCAAGACCAACAACTCCTCTTTCTGTAGGAACCATTGTACCACCTCCAAGGCCTGCTTCCAGACCAAAGCTGGCTACAGGGAAACTTAGTGGAATTAATGAAATAGTATGTATTGAATTCTAGTTTTTTGTTTAATTATATAATTTATTTCTCAAAGTGTCAGTCAACTGGAACTATATCACTTACGGGTTTCCCTTGCTTTATGCGGGTTCTCTATGTATGAATTCGCTCTTATGCGATGACCCTTTTTATACCAAAGATTCGTTATATGTGAGTTAAATTCACTCTTACGTGATCAGTGTGGTGGAAGCCTTCAGTCAGCTGCTTTGTGCAGTGCATTGTGGGAGTGATGTGCACCAAAATATAGTTCCCTGTGTGGATCTGTGCTCCTTGCTCATTGTCTGCAACACATGTTTCTGTAGTTGCCACCCCCGTTATGGCTTCTAAGCGTCCTGCTAGCTTATTCCCTACTCCCCTCTGCTGTTGTTGAGTACAAAAATTGTCTTATAAAAGTGGTAGAAATGGGTCTGGGGGTCAGTACAGTCAAGGTCTTGAAACGTATCCCTATTTGTTATGTTGTAAAGTGGGTTCCCTTTATGCGAATTCAAGTTATATGCCATTTTCCAGGACCACATATACACCATAAAGCAAGGGAAACCTGTATTTACCCTATTATAGTTAACTTAGTCTTGTTGTGAAAGGGAAGCTGTCTTATGATGTCACAGAGTAGGAGATATCAAATGGATAGTTGCTGGTTCTGTCCTTGAAACAGACAGACAAGTTAGAGTAGATTTGTACCACTGCTTTGTCCTTGGTGTTGTACGGAAAAAGAAACGGAAAGATGAATTGCCCATACACGTTGTCCAAAATCATGCTTCTACTCTTCAACTGTTTTTTTATGGCTCCACCTATAAATAAGTAATGAGACAAATACCATATTTATTCAAATACAAGACAAGGTGTTGTTCCCCCATCTTATATTTGCATACAAGGAAACCTCATTAACTACATTGCTTATCATTAAACTAATGCCAAAAGCAGGATGTGCTCAGTAATGTAAACCAACTATAAAGTTGATTAAATGCAACCAACACTGAGCATAACTGTAAAACACATGGACCATATGGAGCAAACAATGATGGGAACCTACCACAAAGATAGGTAAGTACAGCCCATCTGAATAAGATATATGGTAATGCCTATTGAGAACAGTCTCCTTCAGCACTCTTTTAGTCATGGTGCATCATTGCTTACATTTTTACTTCCTCTTCACTCCCATAGCTAAGCTATGGGAATTCTTTCCCATTTTACAAGATTCCTGTTTCTTCACCAGCTTTAAATGTCTGGCAAACATCACCAAACAGGGCCCCAAACAGTTCATCCAGAATCCTCTTGCTCCCTCTCTCAGCCTGTCTGATATGTCTAGTGTGGTCCCACCCTGCATGAGGTGAAGCTGGACCAAGTTGTCCTGAGTCTCAACTGCATATCAATTTTTTGAGGATTCCAAGGTTCATGATGAACACCTGGTTCCATTCATGAGTGAGGGTTAATTAGCACATGGATTCTTCGTAGGGGGGTTCTGGAGAGCGCACACATGTTGAGCAGTGCTGAGCTGTGGGGTCACCATGGCTGGAAATGCTGTTGACTGCTGGGGCCTAGCCCAGTGAACTACATAGTAAATGTATGCATCTTTTGGCTTTGGATTAATATCATGCATAGTATATATAAGTGGGTACAAAAGTGCTGCTTGAAAGTGTGCATATGGAGTACTTGTGCTAAAACTTACAGCAGCTTCAGACAAAGGTAAAATGCATCAATTTTGAATGAACTAAGTCTATGGGTACTATATGCAAAATGCTACAGGTATGTTTATTTCAAAGTCACTGTTTTCATATTTGCCCCGCACTTTCATGTGCTCCAAGAGACCATGGTCTGACATTAAGAACAGGGGAGAGGTCAAAGGGGGAAGAAGTTGGGGGGCAATTTTCCCCATACTGATTGTGGCATAAACCCTTATCTTATATTTTGAGTAAACATGGTATTTAGTAATACAGTTTTTTACATGATCTGAATAGAGATTTTGGAAAGTTCAAAGATGTTCTTTGTTAGCTACTTCTCAGGTTAAGTCAAAAGATTCCAGAGTTTTTTATCACTGAATGGAGAAACTGATACAGACATTTGAACAAGTTGTTTCTCCCTTGTTTGTATTACTAATAATGTAGCTGAGTATTATTGAGATTTAATCCAATTCTTCTTTATTCATCAGTCTTGAGTATATAACCACACTTACATAGCATCAGTTAGTTTGCATCAGGGGTGCAAGGCAGGATACAAGGAATGTTGTACTATCTTAGATTCAGCCTTTCATAGTTCACTTCAGCATCTTCATATAAAGCAACAGATGAGTTTTTTAATGTGACCAACCTTCTGTTTCCATTCTTAAAAGTAGCCAATCCTGGAAAGTGTTCCTGTGCACAGGAACATTGGCTCAGATGGGAGAACCAAAGTTGGACTTCTGTGACATATAGCTCAGCCTCATACAGGATTACTTCAGGCTGTACCATAACAAAGCAAAACCTCATGCTGATACATTAAAGATAGTATTAAGGAAAAATCTTGAATCATAAATCCTACTACATTGTGGAATTTCTTCCCAGGCAAAATGGTTAAAATTGTTTTTTTTTATAGAAAATCAGGGTACATGAAGCACTAGATATAAATATGGAGGAAGGAATTCATTAGTTGGGGAATGAGTCAGATGAAGAGATCTTTTCTAAATTTGTTGTTCGTCCACTTAGTATCCCATACAGCTCTGTAATTATATCATTATACTTAATGTTAAGCCTAGGCCATTCAGTCCACCATTGACCTCTAAGTCCAGTCCACCACCTACCGCCCCTTTGGCACGTGCTGAGAGTGTGTCCTCAATATCTTCATCTGCTTCACTAAGCGCGGCAAATACACCCACAGTTGGTAAGTAACTTATTTTAGTTAAAGTGATGTCCTTACAGACCTTAATATTTGTAACATTTTTCTTTTAGAAAAAATATAAACATCAATTCATCAGAGCTTAAATCAACCAGTCTATTACAAAGCAACCTGGTTATTCCGTATTAAGTTCATTTGAGTTTTCTTGCAGTTTTCCTGAATGATCTGGTCCACTGATCAGATCCCCTGTCAAAACTATTGAGCTTGGTAGATCCTTAACAATGTGACAGATCCATCTGTGAACATTTTTAAAATTAAAACGCATGCTTGGTATGTACCATGTGTATTTATAACTCTGCTTGATACTGAAATAGCTTTTGATTCAGCTGAGTTGGTCAAATGTAATTTTGTTTAATCGTACAAAGAAACTGAGTTAAATGTGGTTTTTTTTCCTTTAGCTACAGAATTATTTTAATGAAAATTGCTCTTAAGTGATTTATAATGATTTAAATATTCTGCTGGTTCATTTGCCACCCCATAATTACAACTTTCTGCAAAGAAAGGCAACAAGTACAATTGACTAGTGTCTTTCTTTTCTAAGTCAAATGAAGTCAGTGAATCAAATAGAAGCATAAATGGTGATAAGAAAATCAGGCTCTGATTTTGTCATCATTGCCAACTTAATATTTCCCTAACAGAAAGGGATATTCCAAGTATCCCAAGTGATATTTTTACTTAGGATACACTTTAAAGTTCAGTATTCTAAATTAAGCCTAAATACAACAAACATTGTTCTGTGGGAGTTTGTAGAAGTAGTTATACCTAATTACTTAATTTACTCAATTCCAAGATTAGGTTCCCCTCCCCCCCAATTGGCATGGGGGGAAAGACCCCTCATCTTATCACATACAAGGAAATCTCGCTAAATACATTGTCTACCATTAAACTGTTGCCAAAAGCCACATATGCTCAGTAATGGAAACCAACTGTGAAGTTGATTAAATTCAGCTAAAACTGGGCATGACTATAAAACACATGGCCTACATTAGGCAAAGATGCTGTTTTCTAACCTACTACAAGGATAGGTCAGTGCAGCCCATCTTATGTATATCTTATATAATGGTAGTGCCCATTAAAAGCAGTCCCTTTCACTGCTGACTCTTTTTCAAGTCAAGGTGAGCCATGAAATTGCATACCCAGAATCTCTGCTAACTCCTATCTCAGCGTAATGCAGATGATTTAGTGTGGCCCTGACCTCCATGAGGTGAGACCATACCGGTTTCCCCTGGGCCACCTCTGCACACAAATTTTTGGAGCATCCCAGGACTTGTGACAAGAACACCTGGTTCCAGGCACGAGTGGTGGCTAATTAGCATGTAGATCCTTTGTGGGTGGTATCTGGAATATACACACACTGAGCAGTGCTGACCTGTGGGGTCACCATTGAGGGTGGGACCAAATAATCATATGTACCAAGCTGAGAGAGAGTATGACAGAGGGATTCTGGGTATGCAGTATCGTGGCTCACCATGATTTGAAATGCTGTTGACTCTAGTGGAGCCCAGCCAAGTGAACTGTGTGGTAACTTATGAGTCTTTGACTTTGGACTGTACTTTTATGGCAGAGGTGATACCATGATCAAGCAGGTGGTTTTCCAGGCTGAGTGCTGTCCATTATTCTGGGCAGACTGATCATTGCAAGATTCCTCTGTGCAGGAGACTTGACTGCAGAATTCTGTGGTAATGCGGGACTGTGTTTGTACTTTCCCCTTGGCTTCCTCCTCAGTTTTTTTGGCTAGGAACAAATGAGACTAGGGGGCATCTGGACCCCAGGGTCTCCAGGCCCAAGGCTTCCGCATTGCTTGAGATGATTTGTTTTCTTGCAGTTTTTTAATTTAAATGTAATGGAAGATGAAACAATATTGCAAGAAAACAAAACATCTCAAGCAATAATGAAAGTGTTAACTGGAATTTTAAAGTATTTAAGCAGAATATGTAACAATAAAATCGATTAAAATGCAATGACTTATAAAAGATAAACAAAATAAATTTAAATATGCCTAATGACTTTTCAGTTTTGACATAATTTCATTCAGCAACTACATAGTAGGTTTAAAGCAAAACTGCATCACAAGTTGTATGTTGTACCAATAATATAACCATTTGTTTTTTGGGGTTTATTTAATTTTAAACTGAAGACCATAGGACTTATCTTCCCAATTGTGGCTCATCCCTTTGCTATTTTTTTATCTTGAACTTTTAAAATGATAGAACGTACAAAGCAGGTACTTTGAAACCATTTCTTTGTGTATATGTGAAATGCAAATAAGAACTCAGAAGTATCTGAATACTCAAATAAAAAAATCATGCTGTTACTTTTACAAGCTGCTATTATTTGTTGCCCTTCCACAAAACAATTTAGCCAAAATTAAAACTACCTCCACTGCTGTCCCTAATTGGAACTGAGCCCTTTTTTCAGGTTGAGATTCAATAAGTCTTTCCTTCCTAGCTATCTCTGTCTCATAATTAATGCATTATGTTAATGATCTCACTCTCTTTGTGTTGAATTTTTTGAGAGGGGTATTAATAATTTTATCCTCAGATAAGACCTGCAGGGTAGGAGTACCCATGTAACCTTAATTAACCTTTCTGAGGCCTCTCTCTTCGTAGAATGCTATTCTGAGACTTCTGCTCTTCTTTTTCCTTAACCTCCCAAAACATATATCTCAATAAGACCTAAATGTGAGAAATAATGTTGCTGTGTATTGACAGCTGTCAATCCTCTGGTGCACACGTAAGAGGTCTAGTTAGATACCTGATTAAACCATTTGTGGCTAACAATTGCAATTCAAGAATGACACAGCATGTTATAAGTTTCACAGATCCATATGTTGTCTGAGTTGGAGTCCAAGATTACAACACACTGCTTTCTTCTTTCTTGTCTTGCTTCTATCCTCTGGATCAAAGCTGCTTCATGTTGAGCTGCACCCAGTGCCAGATGTTCCCTCCAGACTGGGATTCTGCTCACTCCTCCCAGCTTTCTACACTGATGTTGAATGACTTCATAGCATTTTTGCACACATTGTGGTACCGCCATAGGAGGTGACCCTGTTTTCTAAAGCTGTCTCGAATCTCACTGTACAACGTATTTTTGGGGATACAGTCTCCTCTCATTCTCCTGACATGACCGATCCATCGTAACCTCCTTTTTTTTTTTTTATAGTGTGTCAGCCCTGCGTGCTTCAGTACTTCTGTGTTTGGTATTCTGTCTTCCCACTTTATTTTCAGGATCTTATGCAGACATCTCATGTGGAAGCTGTTCAGTTTCTTGTTCCTGTAATCCACATTTCTGAACCATAAAGCAGGGATGACAGTACATAAATCCTGTAGATTTGCATCTTCGCCTTAGTTGATAATTTGCTTTTATTCTATGCACATTTCTGTAATAGCCCAAAATTCTTAGCTGCTTTACCAATTCTGTTAGTTCAGTCTGAAGGTCAAGATTCCTATTGATCATAGAACACAAGTAACAAAAACTGTCAATGACACCAAGAGATTTATCCTCCAGAATGAAGTCAGGCATTGCTTCTCCTACCCTTTGGTACATGATCAAAGTTGTCTTGACTCATTGCCACCCCAGACCTCTTATGTGACTCAGAAAATCTGCCCAAGAAATTTTGCAGGGAAGATTCACCATGGGCAACCAAGGCTGTCATTTGCAAACAGGAAGTCCCTCAGTTCCAGTTTTCACCTTGATTTTTGCTCTAAACATTGCACCATTGATCGAGCCTCCATCTAATCTGGTTCAAAAACAAATACCATCATTGCTATTTTTTAATACATGAATGAAAAGTAGATGATAAAAAGCATAGGGTCTAAGACACTCCCCTGTTTCACACCATTGTTGATGTCAAAGGTGTCTGATTCTTGTTTTCATACGCTACAGTTGCTTTCATTCCTTGATGTAATGAGCAAATGATGTTCAGCAGTTTGAGGAGACCACCCAGTTTCTTCAGAACAATAAAAAGGCCTTATCTGTTGACAATATTGAAAGCGTTCATCAGATCAATGAAGGCTATGTACAGTGGTATTTGTTTTTCTCTACAGTTCTCTTGCAGTTGCTTGCTTGACTAAAAATACCACATCAGTGATGGAGTGTCCTGAAGGAAAACCGCATCGACTTTCAGGATAGATTCTTTCACCTGGAGATTGCCACTTGGGGAACATGATGCGAGTGACAATTTTTCCAACAATGTTCAACCCTTGTAGTTGTCATTGCTTCTATCCCCTTTGTTTTTGTATCATTGTACAAATCAAGCATCTTTGAAATCTATTTTCAAGAAAGGTCCTTGTTGAAAATTCTGATGACATCAAAAATAGATTGAGCCTCTGAAACATGAGTAGGTGCCCTGAAATATAAGTTCCTGAACCTCTTCCAAATGTACAATAATGAGGCTGTCTTGTGGGCTATCTCCTCAAAGCAGAATAATGCCCCTCTCCCTCAGCAACTTTCTTTTTCAATGCATATTGATTTTAATGTATGCTTGTCATGTATTCAGAATCCAGCCTAACACTCCCACATATACTGAAATTCAATACCCCACGTGCATGTGCAATTTATTTCTGCTCGTGCATACTAAAACTATTTATTCCATCTCTGCAACTGATTCCCTCAGTGAGGAAGATTAATTTATTGTAAAAGGCTCTGTCTCCTTTGTGATAAATATGCTTTGTATGAAAGAGACAAGGAGGCTTAATGATTACAGAAGAGGAGAACAATAAAACATTTTCTACTGTGCTCTTGCCCTAGTAACAAGGGGTAAAGCTGAGGATGTGGATGCACATATTTGGAGCAGTTTCAGAAGGGGAACATTTGAAAACAGCAACAGCTTTTACTTTCTAAGTGGATATAGTGGCTGACAATACAAAGGTAACAACACCACTCCAACTTCACTGCTTCATCTGGTGTTAAAGTTGGAGCAGTTTAACTATATTTTCCCTTTTTGAAAAGGCTCCTAATGTATGTTGTCCACACTCTTAAAGTATTATGGATGTTACTCTTTCAGTAACTGGATACTTATTTTCCTGTGATAAAGGTGTAAGTACCCTTCAATCCCTGGCCATCGTGTATGGCCAAAATTGTGTCACTTGGCTAAGCCAGCATACCTTAACTCTACAAGGTCCAAATTGATTGGGGGTTGGGAAGTGGAATATGGTGCATGTAAATGTTTTGCACAAGCTTGAAGCTGGCTGAAGACCTTGCTAAATATTTTCCATATAAAATTAATGACTTTCTTGTGAAGCGCTGCATATTCCTTTGTCACTCTGAGACATACCTAGATTCCTTGCCAGATAGACATGAAAATCTCAGCATAAAGATTTATCTCTGATAGTCACAAGTGAAAAGTGGTTTAATGCTTGATACTGGTGGAGAATTTGTTAAAGTTGTTTAGTTGTTAATTTGTGTAAAAAAGACTACTCTGTTTGCAAAATTTATACACACTAGAACTGGATTCAGAGAAAGCCATGGGAGCCTTTTTATCAGACATTTTGTTCATATTGTAAGCATGCAGTAGAGAGTTTGTTTTATATGTACAGCCTTATGTCAGATTTCCTTTGTGATCTGTTAACTTCAGTTGCATCACTGGCCCTTTTAATGCAATGTTCCCGTTTATCTTGTATTGTGCAATACATACTACCTGTTGTCTGTCCACTTCAAAATGTCGCTGACATTTTCTCAGGCTGCTGACTTGTTTAATGCTTTAATTGTAGCGTATTCTGATTTTAAATGTTTTTCATGTATAGAGTGAAAGAATAGACTTCACTGTGAAATTGGTGTTTGTCACCTGCTATGAAAATGACAGATGTAGCCAACCATTTTAAAATTCAGCTGATAAGATTCTTGAAAATTAAGTCTATAAACTGTATGTATTCTAGGTGTTTCACGTGGTCCCAGCCCTGTCAGCCTTGGAAACCAGGACACCTTGCCTGTTGCAGTAGCCCTTACTGAATCTGTTAACGCCTACTTTAAAGGAGCAGATCCCACAAAGTTAGTTAATTGTTTTGAATGTAATGAGTTATATTAAGAAAACAATTTGATCATTTTTATTTTTTCCCCCTCTTCTTTCTTTTGGGAGGTGGTGGGGTGGTGGTAAACTTTTGAAAATAGGGTATGTTTGTAGAAATGTACAAGTCATTGCCTGGGTATAATTCAAATAGGCTCTGTATGTAAATTCTCCCAAACATCTCTAAGCACCTCATTCTCTGTGGTGGCAAGCATAACTGTCCAGTAAGACTCCTGTATGCTTAATCCATCAAAACCTCATCCAATTTTAAAAGCATGTTCCAAGAGGTAAAAGGAAGTAATGCATGAAGTCATGGTGTCTCCTTACCCTCATTTTAAATTAATTTGTATTTTAGCCTTTTTAATATAAAATTCAGAAATGTGATCTAAAAAAAAAATATTAAAACTTTGCTGTTCTCTCCTTTTTGTTTTAGATGTATTGTGAAGATCACTGGTGATATGACTGTGTCATTCCCAAGTGGGATTATTAAAGTATTCACTAGCAACCCATCTCCAGCTGTACTCTGCTTCAGGGTAAAAAACACAAGCAAACTAGAGCATATTCAACCAAATGCACAACTTGTATACAGGTTTTGTATTTTTTTTTCATCTAATAGTAACCGTGATGATAAAATGTGAAATGTTGCATTGCTTTTTTAAATTCTTTATTGCCCTGTTCATCTATTTCAGGGGTGTGCAATTATTTGAACCCAAGGGCCCCATAGGCTGTTTTGGTGAGCTGTCATGGGCCAGATCAGCACCCTTTCTCCCCCCACCCTCCCAGTGCATGTGCATGCAGAACAATGCATCAAAACTCCCTACGTGGGGTGGGGCCCCAGACAACAGCATTTAGGAGTAGGACAGGCAGGCGAGGCTGGGATCATAGGGCAGGGTCAGAGCCATGATCTGCTGGCTTCATGCCCCCGTTATGGGCATGGGTTCTGTGGCCAGGGTTGTGCAGGGAGTGGACCTCAGCTCTGCCCTGCATTATCACTGCCCCACAATCCTGACTCCAACCCCGAATGCAGCTCCCTGTCTGCCTGCGCACCCTGCCCACATAGTTGCCTGGAGCTGCATATGGGGCTGGGCCAGGATGTTGGAGCTATGACAGTGTGGGGTGAGGCAGAGCTGGAAGCCACCACTGAGTCTTGCCGGGGGCCCGCAGCGTCCACGAGGAGGAGAGGAGGTCTGTGAGCAATATAGAGGAGGCTAGGGAGGCCGAGGAGGGCAGGCAGGGGCAGGGGACAGCCACATTTCACCACTGAGCCTGCCAAGTGAAGGGGGGACTTAACCTCCCTCCTGCTTCTCCTTGCCCATCCCCTCCAGCAGCCTGCACGTGGGAGAGGGAGGAGGTGGGCCCTGAGGCTACCAGGCACTTGGAAGCAGCGGCCAGGGGAAGCAGGAGGTGCTGGAGCAGGCCCCTCCCTTGTCAGCTCGCATCTCATCCCAGGATGTCGATGCAGAATGCCTGCTGGCTCAGTGTGGAGTGCAGTGGCATGGAGTGGAACAGTGTGGAGACAGTGGCAGAGGCAGTAGTCACAATGAGGGCACTGCCCCTGAGGCCAGCCCCAGATGCAGCTCCCTGCCCAGCTGTGCGCCCTGCCCACATGGCTTTTAGCCATGTCTCCATGGAAACTAGCCCCTACAGTGCCCTCACTGAGGTACTCATGACTGCCGTGGCCCTCGTGCCACTCGGCTCCACACTGCTATGCCCCATACGAAGCTGGCAGTCTGTGGGCCATATTTTGCCCACTCCTGATCTGTTTATTCTTTACTATGAATTTGACTTAGTATATTGCCCTGTGTTGTGCCTTAGCTTCTTGTCAGCATTATTCCTTTGACCTCACTGTCAGCAGTGCAGAGATTATACTCAGTGGAAATTGTATAACAGGAATATAATAACTAAAATGCAAAAGCTGGCTTAAGAATATAGTTGTATGAACTTTTGGATGTTTCTTTACACAGATTTTATAGTTTAATGTTTTTATAAAGACTATAAAAATTAAAATAGTATTTTCTAATACATAAATCTGTTTACATTGTATGAACAGCATACCTGGTTATAAATGCCATCAGTAACATTTAAAAGTAAAAAAAAATAAACAGTTTTGCTCTTTTAGAGCATATTGCAGGAGCTATCTGTTTTACCCAACTTTTGTGGACAGGAAAGTGTTTGGTTGGGAGGTGGCAAGTTGAGGTTGCTGGTTTAGTTTGCTTGTTTAAGGTACAACAAAGGCACCTATACTACTATAGGTCCATTTTTGTATATTTTATTGTCTGTGTCTAACTCTTCTAGCATGTCTGAGATTTCACATCAGAAGTATTACCATTGAATTTATTTTTGCATTCTATGTACCAGATACTACCACTTGGATATCACAGGTGTACATACAGCTGTTGCAGATGAGTTCTGCACCTTGGTATGGTGGTGACAAATATTTGCCTTACCCTTCCGAGCTTTGTGAGGCATCCAACCTCCCCCATTGTGCTGTACCTTTTTAAGGCTATATTATGGTTCCCACAGCTTGGCTGGACAGTTTGTTAGAGCCAGAGGAAATCTAAGTCAAGACTTTTTTTCTCAGAAGGTATTCCCAAAAGGCACACCTTTGCTTCCCTGAGTGTAAGTGCTGTGGTTGCAGACATGTTTTATGTAGGCCAGGGAAGGGAATGAAGGTTTTTACTGCCTCCCCACATTATGCAGTAGCATGAAATACAGGCTACAACATAATTCTTTGTGATTTTACAAAGACTATAGCTTTGTTGTTCTTGATGCTATGAAAGGCACTTGCTAATGCCAAGTCCAGTAAGACTTTTGAAAGTTAAAATAAACTGGTCTTGAAGAAAATATTCCTGAGAAGGAAAACCATTTCTTTTGTGCTCCAGTAATTCAAAACTTGAAGCATTTGTGCACATACCTATTTTACATACACGTTCCAGGACAGAAGTTGTTTCAGTGGAATTATGTTTGAGAGTATATATCTTTGATTTAAAAGCAAAAACATTTACAGTACTGTGATTATCTGAAAAAAAAAGTTTTATAAACCCAGAAAGTTTAGAGTAGAAGGTTGCATTTAAAAGAAATCCAAATATATTGAGATATGAAAAAACACAGTTACAGCTTCCCAATGACCTTGATTCAGCCGTGTAGCAATCCTATTTTGTAACCACAGGTTTATGATTAAGGCATTTTTGTGTTCATAAGTAAATTATTTTAGACATTTTAGCATGGCCCTTTTCCCCTCACGGTGTCGCTATAGGGCAGGCTGTTTTATATTAAAAACAAATTCCATTGAAAGCAGTCCCAGCTGCAGCCTTAAATATGATGGTGCTGGCCCTCAACTGTAATCCAGAAGAGAGAACTTTCATTGACTACTACAAATATTTAGTTTGCCTACATATTTCAGAAGTGCAAGTATGTTTTATTTTGGAACATTAGCACTTATTCTTGTATTCAGAAGCCTGTTAAAAATAAAGGGTGCACTTTTAAACGAAGACATCCAAAATAAGAAAATTTAATTTTGTTTTTCTGATTCCTGCCTTCATTTTTACATGTAGTGATCAATCACAAAGCGACTCCAGTACAAAAGATTTTTGGATGAACATGCAAGCTATAACTCTCTACCTCAAGAAGTTATCAGAGCAGAATCCATCTGCTTCCTATTATAATGTGGATGTTTTAAAATATCAGGTACATCTCTTTATTTTTTGGAGGATTTTTAAAAGAACTTTTGTTGATTTCAATTTTAGAAACTACCTGAGCTGGTTTTACTTGCTCATGTAAAGATAGATCATCATGGTCTAGCTGAATGCATCAGACTGTATCCTTACTGTGGGGGTTGACCTGCTGAATGTGGGCCCATCATGTTCCTCTCTCTTGTCTGGCGTAAGGACTTTGGTTTGCTTCTGCTTACTCCAAACTTGATACTTGCACAGGGTTACATATTGTCCCCTTTGCCCTCTGTGGGCCTTCACAACGAGGCCTTACAGAGAGCTTGATTGCATTTCTTTTGGTCTGAAACAAGATAATGTCGCATCTGATTAATTCTAAAATGTTAAGAATTGTTCTAAGCATCAGTAGGCAAACCCCTATGGATTCTAGTAAAAATGGGAAAAATCAGAAAGTCTGTCAGTGACACTTGGAGTCCCTGCCACCGACTCAGCAACTTCAATCACTCCTATAGCATTTTTTAGATCCAAAAAAGGTACAGATTTTAATGCATCATAAAAAACCGTTCCCATGTGGTCTCAGCTGTGCCCATCTTCCCAGTACAGTTTAATATCTTGAAGAAAGTAATTTGTGTTGAGAAGAATACAGGGCAAAGACAGTCCCCAGCATGGGGAAGAATGGGTAGGATAAGAATAGGGGACCCTCATTTTGGAGGGTCTGTGCACTCCTATAAAACCCTTGGAATGGGAGGGCACATAGTGCCAGATAGGTGCAAGACTAGGAGATTCTAGTATGGAGGAAAGAACCCTAGGTAAAGGAAGGAATTGAATATTAGGATTAGAGGGTAGGACTGCAGGGACCCCCTGAATTAGAGGCAGATTAGTATGTGTTTGGAGTCTGAGGCTCCTGGCACACATTGCACTTATGGGCTAGGGACAGAAATTACACACAAACCAGTATAAGTGACCAGAAACAAGTTCAGATCTGTAACACAACAGAAGCTCAGTGTACATAAACTTCTTTCACAGTGGCCAAAACCAGTTTAAGATAAACCTGGATGGATGTAGTTATCATACTTAGCTGATTTAGATTAAATCAGTTTATTAAACTTCTGTCCCAGATCCCCTCCAGATTCAAGTCACTTTGCAGTGCCCCAACATTCCAGGATGCTTTGGACCTCCCCTGCAAATCCCACCTCACGGGGTGGGTGGGCTAGCCTTGACCCAAACTCTCCAGTCCAGACAAGCATGGAGGCATGCTCTAGAGCACCCCCTCCTCTCTAGCTTCTGGCCTGGGCCACTGCAATCATGTGGCTGCACTTCTGGAATCAAAAGCGAATGTCTGTTCATTTGCTTATTGGTTTAATCTGTACAGTTCAGACTAACCAGCCTCAGGCTTTTTGATGTCTGTACTTAGCCATGGTGTGATTAATGTATCATTCATGCCTTAAATTGTAGCAGTGATACACATTCAGCTGATCTATGGTGCCTTAAAGGTGGCAAGCCAGCCACAAAGATGCTCCACGAAATGTGTGGATCATCTTTGTTGCTCATTTATATGATGTAATAAAGTGAATATGTATCATTCTCCCATCCCAGTGCTGACAATCAGCTGATTATTGGCATCAGATGGGTCAGCATTAGGACTAGGACAGCTCTGGTTCTAATACCAAAACTGGAGTCTCCCCAATAGGAATCTGGCAACCCTCACACCCAGCAGCCTTTTCTGCACCCTGTGGGGGCTGCAGGGCAAGGCATTTTAAAATGTTGGGGTGTAGGGAGATGGGTTGCAGGTCTGGGTTTTAGATATTCCAGGGCTCTGGGTCCTGGAGGTTGTTGGCACTGAATTTATAACCCAGATACCTTGTTCCCCATTTAATAACAGGCACATTTTATTGATACACAGTGATAGCAGATGAGAATAATGCAGGCAAGGCGGACAAAATAAGCCCCCTCCGAGATTCTATATCTACCAGTCCTAGGGCTGTCACAGAGTATGTCTAGCCAGTATGCAAACTTCACCCTCTGGTTCTTTCTTGAATGTCAGATGTCAGAAGCTGGAGGTCAAGGGCCGAGGCCCACCCCCACCCCCGTGAGATAGATGGAGATGGGTTGGTGGTGTGCCCTCTGTCCATGGTGGTCTCAGGGTCCCCCATCAGGGACCCTGTGCTGCTCTGAAATTCCTCCTGTTGTATTCTTTCTCCCCTCTGATGACTCTTCATTCGTAGGTACCATTGATTGTTTTTCCTGTGGTTGTCACACTGCCCATGTTCTGTTCTGTCAGCATAGTTGTTCTGTCAGCATATTCTTTTGATTCCTAATCCCATCACATGCACACATCTTTATTTGGTTATTTACTGGTGTCTTAATTTGGTCTATCCACCAAAACTGGAAATCCCAAAGGCTCTGCAGCTGGTCACCGTGACCTGGCCACCGCAGCAGAGTCCCTTATCCCTGTTATGGAACAGTGTGGTACGTCTTCGATTTCCCAGCCTGCGTCTGCCGGCTTCAGACAGAGTGGGTCTTGAAGGACACTTTGTCACAAACAGGCTTTTAGAAACCAATAAACCCTTGCCATTCCCTTAGACCATTATTCTAATGCATATCTACTTTACCTACAAGCCAGTTTCCAAAAGCAAATGTCTAAATAACATTTTCTAGCCATCAGGGATCCTCTTGAACCAGACTGTGGGGCTGCCCAGGACCAATCAGTTGATTGTCATTCCCAGCCCCAGATGTCAAACTGCACCTGGAGCTGTTCCAGAGCTGCCAAGGGCTGTGCTCACAACCAACTGATTGTCAGTCCCTCATGCATCCTTGCAGGCACTCAGCTTTCAATTTGCTGGTGCAGGTGAGCCTGGGATCACGATCTTGGGCTCCCCCAATACTGAAAAATAAAAAGGTATAATTGGGATTTGATCCCTGATCCCAAAATAGCACCTGCTTCCACGTACATCTCCTTTCACCATTAAATGAACGTCAGGGGCTTAAGGAATGAAGGGGTGCAGAGAGCTGCTCATGAGTGCAGGGAACTCAGCTAAACAAGCAGCAACATGCAACCCTCTAGTGATCGGAAAATACTGCTTCTAAACTTATGCTGAATACCTGTCCTGTGATTGCTAATTATCCTTTGCTATCTGCCGCTTAGTTGGTTAGCTCAGGATGTCACATGGCTTGTAAGGGTAAAATAGGACATCTCCAGGCACTTTTCTTCAAGTATACAATGCAAAAGATGACATTAAACTGACCCCAGTATTTTGTCCTGGAAAAGACAAAGAGAGAAGGAGATTTGGGCACTGTGAGAGGTAACTATTGAAAACAAACAAACAAAAGACTGAGCTAACATTAGCAAAGGACAACCAGAGAAATTATAAAATAAAAGCCTCTGAAGGCCTCCCTTCAGTCATTTTTCCAAATAACCCAACAGTGCTGCCTTTAGGTATGAAGCAATATATATCAGTTTGGTGCAATTAAGCAAGGCTTTCTGGATGCATTGGAGGATGGGTAATAAATAATGATTATTAATTTTCACCTCAAATATAATCTTTATAACTTTGTTGTTGCTACCATGGTTCCATAGTTCTGTCAGCAAGTAAAGAATCCTTTATTGTTACAAATGTTTTACTTTCTTAAAGGTATCTTCAAATGGCATCCAGTCCACTCCCTTGAATCTTGCTACCTACTGGAAATGCAATGCAAACACTACTGATGTTAGAGTGGATTATAAATATAACCCAGAGTCTATGACTATGCCCAGTACACTATCTAATGTACAGGTTGTGGTACCAGTTGATGGAGGAGTAACAAACATGCAGTCACTTCCCTGTGCAAAATGGTAAATGTGTTGCATTTCTATTATATCTTTTCTGACTGTTTCAGATCACTGCAACTAAATTTGTTCTTTTGATAGGAATTTTTCAGTAACTTTACTCCTGGTAACCTGAGGAACACATTCTCTAAGCTAATGGCTATTTCATGTTGCAGACAACTACCTTAACAATCAGGCTGTTATCTACATTTAGCTGATGTGGGCTTTTGAAGCTTGAAGTGAAGTCTAAAGTCTGTTTTAGAAGAACACTTCTATCATTCCTCCTGCACTACCTTTTCTTCCTCTCACTCATCTCTCAAAAGCCTGATAACTCAAACCTGTGCAGAAATAATTTTATGAAAAGCCAGATTACTTCTCCAGTAACTGGAGTTCTTTAAATTCATTATCTCTACAGGGTCAGTTCCCCAATTTTTTCTGTTCTTTTTTTATACATTTTTCCAGACACTTTCCTGCATTAGTAGGTGCATCATGAGCAGGTTTAGGGAGGTGATACTTCCCCTCTATATGGCATTGGTGAGGCCGCAGCTGGAGTACTGCATCCAGTTTTGGGTGCTGCACTTCAAGAGGGATGCGGATAACCTGGAAAGGGTTCAGAGGCGGGCTACTCATATGGTTGAGGGCCTGCAGGTAAGATCCTGTGAAGACAGACTGAAGGACCTGAATCTCTTCAGCCTTCACAAGAGAAGGCTGAGAGGTGATCTTGTGGCTGTCTGCAAACTCATTGCGGGGCCAGCAGGGAATAGGTGATACTGTGTTTACCAGGGCACCCCTTGGGTTTACTAGAAATAATGGACATAAACTCGAGAAGAATAGATCTAGTTTGGACATCAGGAAGAAATTTCTTTCAGTGAGGGTTGCCAAAATATGGAATGGGCTTTCAAGGGAGGTGGTGCTTTCCCCTACCTTGAAGGTGTTCAAAAGGAGATTAGACAAGCACCTGGCAGGGGTTACTTGACCCCAGCAC